TTAACGGTATACAATCATGATACAGTACAGATACACTCCAAAAGCGGAAGTCATTATGTTGCTCATTCAGATTCAGATATCAGATACAGTTCAGATACGCTCCAGATACGGATGCCATCCTGATACTTATTCAGATTTCAACCATCAGATACAGTTCAGATACACTCCAGATACATAAGTCATTCTGTCACTTATTCAGATTCTAGTTCAGATACGCTTCAGACGCGGATGCCATTCTGGCCCTTATTCAGTTTTCCGATTCAGATACAGTATAGATACACTCCAGAGGCGGAAGTCATTTTGTTGCTCATTCAGATTCAGATCTCAGATACAGTTTAGATATGCTCCAAACGCAAATGCTATTCTATTATTCATTCAGATTCAAAACTTTAGATACAGTCCAGATACGCTCTAGACACAGTTTCCATTCTGTCACCAATTCTGATTTTCCCCAGCTCAGAGACACTCCAGACACGGATGCTATTCTATTTCTTATTCAGATTCAACATTCAGATACAGCTTAGAGAGGCTCCAGACGTGGATGCTATTCCTTTGCTCATTCAGATCCAGTCCCCAGATACAGTACAGATACGTTCCAGATACGGACACCATTCTGATGCTCATTCTTTTGACTTACAACTCAGCAAACATACTTGGATGGCATCTTTAAGCCCATCTCCAACAAGATTCTCTCACATCTCCAAATGGCATCTTTAAGCCCATTTCCTCAACTACATTTTGACGAGTGCAAATTTACGGGCACTCTAGTGTCCAATCATCTTTTCCTTCGAGTCACGAACGACAAAACTCGCCAATCTAACTCTTCAGGTTCAAGAAGATTGAACAGGGGCAGATGTTGTACCCCAAAATTTTCCATCTCATTTATCAAGATTTTTCCTCACAAGACTTCTTGGACTCCAGACAGGATTAGGGTTTGCTCAGCTTAAGACCTCATCTTGCACTGATGACCAGAAATTAGGGTTTGAGTTTGCACAAGGATTTTTGGACCATCAATGCTTCATGTGAATTTCATACACCATCTTGGACCCCTAATATTACCCATACCAAGTTTCAAGCCTTGAATCACATTTTTGACCAGTCAGTTGGACAGTTGACCTAAGAATCAACTATATTGGGGAAAAAGTCAACCATGGCCAATTTACAGTCAAACTTCTTAAATTTTTGATCCACGACCACACTTTAGACTCATATTTACCATTTGATCAAGTTTGGATCACAACTCCTTAAGAAATTTGATCAAATCATCAAAAGGGAAAAATGGTCAAAATTAGGGTTTTGGCTGAGAAAGGGCAATTTCTGATTTTTAACCTAACCAATGGCCAATTGGGTTCAAGAATGGTTTCAAGGATCCAATGGCATCATCTTGACCTAATTGTATAGTTCAAAAGATCTCAAGTACATTGAATTGATAGATGAATTTTGCAGTCATCTGATCAAAAGTCAACTGTGCACTGAAAAGTCAAACATTGACTTTTTGGTCAAAATCAAGTGCCAAGGGTCATAATTCATCAAGATATGTTAAAATGTGAAACTTCTTGACCAAGAAACCTAAAATTGCAAATTAGGGTTTTAATTTGAAATTTTTCATAACTTAGAATTTTTCTAAGTATGGAAAATTTCTTATTTTTTCCCAAATTTTCACAACTTTTTCACCATGATGCAATTGGATTCAAAGAAAACTTCCAACATAAAATTTGTAGTCCTCCATGAAATCTACAACTTTTATTCACAAAGTTTTCCCAAAAGATGCTTGGGTCTCAAGTTATGATTTTGTGAATAGGGGTCCATGAACTAACTAACTTAGTGAAAATTTGCCCTAATTTAGGCAGGTTTTTGACCCAACTTCATGGGCATTTTTCACCTAGTCCCAAGAGGTATCTCAAAATGCATTTCAAATATGGATTGTATATCATGTTGCAATATTTCCAAAATGTACAAGAACTATCCAAGATCATTTGTGGTTACAGAGAATCGAAGAGGAGAAAATGGAATTTTGTCACTTTTGTTCAAGCCATTTTCACAATGGTTCAAGTTGCAAATCAGATCCTAGCATGCTTGTACCTTGCACTACAGGTCCTAAACACTTCTACACTCCATAATTAAATTCTAACTCAATGGATAATGGCTTTATTTTTATCTTTGGAGCATTGTACAAAAGATTAATCCATAAATGGCATAAAGTTCACAATACCACTTTGATAAAGCAAGCTTTTCCAACTTTATCAGCCTTGAGCATTGGGCTTGTTCTTGTGGTGCAGACAATTTCCACAGGAATTAAGCAAAGCATACCAACTATTATCATCCCTAGAACTAGAAAGTATAAGCTTTTGGTTTAAGTCACTTCAACTTTCTTCAAATACAAGAAAAGAGGCAAAAGGGATCAGAACTTGCACATTTGTTAAAGAGTGAACTTGGCATCATTCAAAAAAACATTCACAAACTTGTCTCAAGCAGAAAACACGAATACACAACATTCAAAACTCTCCCAAACAGAAAAACAGAAATTTTTGCCCAAACAGGGCAGCTTCTGCAAAACACTTGCAAACTCAAAATTTGCTCGTGCGTTTTGCCTTGTAATACTTCAAACATCTTCCATACATCCTACCTAAACCATCTAAGACTTTGCACTGCAACTGTAACCCCTGTTTCAGACATCACCATTTTCATTTTGGAAGGTTGCAGGTTGACTTCTACAAGGAGTTTCAAGCATCCTCGAGGCAAGCTAAGCATTGGGATAGCTCGAGGGAACTTCAAGGAAGCTCACACTATCCTCAAGCCTCACTCAAAGCCCCCACATTTCCATATCCAAACTCAGCTGAACAAGGTATTTTTCAAATCTCTATCTCTTTATTTAGGCATCCTTAAGTCACGATTTGTGAAGCAAAAATGTAGTCTTTAACTTGCTGAAGATGTACATATGCATAGTTGTCCTTTATATTAACTGAGTATTGAGAATTTAAAGCTTGAAGTTCATGAAAAAATTAGGTCAGGAATTAGGGCCACTGAAATTCTCCCTGGTCTTTTAGAGTTAGGTCACAAACTTTATGTCACTGGAATCATGAGATCATAAGCTACATTTTTTGTGTTATAAGTTTTTGTTTTTGTGCAAAGAATAGAGAGTTACAGGTTGGAGAAAAAACACGCGCGTTTGGGAGAGGATGGAGGACAGGGACGACTGTCCTGGGCCTGGCGCGCCTTGGGCCTGCTTGTTTTGTTTTTCACACCCCCCATATTCCTATTTGCACCCCCTGACCTATTTTCTTATATTTTCATATTTTTCTTGCATATTTTTATTTTTATTGCTTGCATTTATTTTTTCCAATGATAAAAAATCCCCAAAAATAATTTATTTATTTTCACATTTTATTCTATTTTTTTTTTAATTTTATTTTTTGCATAAAAATAGTTTATTTTGACAAGTGGTTTCTATTTTCTTAAATAAACCTATAAATAACAAAAAATACTTAATATTTTATTTCATTATTTTATACATATTAAATATTTATTTTTCATACATATTTTAATTTTTTAATATTGTATATAATATTACTCATATTTTCTTGTACATAAATGGATAAAATAAATAATATAGAACATATTTTTCTTAATCAAAAACTAGGGTTTTACCCCTTTCAAAAATAACACTATTATTTTTCTTATTTTTAGGACTTAAATAATATTATTCTCTCATACATAAAACAAATACAAAACATTTTTTTGCATATTTACATTTTTATTGCATTTTTAATATTTGTTTATTTATTTATTTTGCAAATATTCAATTGGGTTGTAATAGTATTTTAGGGTTTTATTTTGTGCAAATATCCCCATTCAAAAACTTGTATCCCCCCTCCCATAATAATTGTTGTAATAGCTTAGATTTATTTTACCCAATTTATCGCATTATATATTTGTGTAGTAAACTAGGGTTTGCATGATAAGACAAAAATCAAACAAATAGCAAAGACCTAATACAAGACAAATGCATGAAAAATGACAACACCTTGCACACAAGCACCCCTAGGGTTTCACCCACTTGGGTGCCTTAACAAAATGGCCATGGTATGCATGCAAAGTATCTTGGCAAAACAAAACAAAACAAGAGATCATAGTCCCTCGATGACGCTATCAAAAGGTTGCCTAAAAACAAAATGATCTTGGTCCCTCAAACAAGCTAAGATACTTGGCACCATTGTTATCATGGTCAGACGATGACCCACGCCCGTCCCATTTAATATCCAAAGATAGGGTTGTCTACCAAAACAATGGTAAATTAACAATGTCAAAGGAATAAAAATGTACAAGAAAGACTTTTGAGTAGGTAGATATGCTTCTAGTTACTTGATCAATTTGCAAACCATCCTTGCTATTTTCAAACAAATACACACACATTTCAAAACATTTCCAAACAACTTTCAAAACATTGAAACATTTTTCAAAAGACAAACATCTTTGTATACATTCTTACGAACGAGAATAATTATAAAGATTGCCTAAACAAAGGCCTCTTTTCAAAATACTTTTAAAACCACACAAAGCACCATTTAAAACAATTGCAAAAGCAAAGCAAGTGATCTAAACAAGTAACTAAGATCCCATTGAAAACCATGGATGAAAAGGGTGCTAGCACCTTCCCTTTTCATAATCTACCCCCCGACCCAAAAAACAATCTCAAAGGTATTTCCTATGCTTTTTTACCTTTCCTTTTGGATAAAATAAAAGTCGGTGGCGACTCTTGCTAAACCGCAACATTTGCAAACACAAACGCAAATACTCAAGTCAGTTCTCCCACCGCATCACACTGCCATTTATAGCTTTCTGGGTAGTGTATTGTATGTCATATTCTATTAGGATCATTGTCCATCTAGCTATCCTCCCAGACAAAGCAGGCTTTTAGAAGATGTACTTTATCGGATCCATCTTAGATATCAACAAAGTAGTATGAGTCAACATATACTTTCTTAGCCGGCGAGCAACCCATGCCAGAGCACAACAAGTTTTCTCGAGCAGTGAATATCTGGTTTCACAGTCGGTAAACTTTTTGCTCAGGTAGTAAATAGCGTGCTCTTTTCGGCGAGACTCGTCATGCTGCCCCAATACACACCCCATTGAGTTCTCTAAAATGGTCAGATACATGATCAGTGGTTATCCTTCGACTGGTGGCATCAAAATAGGAGGCTCTTGTAAGTACTCTTTGATCTTGTCAAAAGAAATCTGGCATTCATCATTAGGGGTGTGCATAATAACTGGTGACCATAAACCAAATTACTATCCAAATAAATCCAAATTTAAAAATCCAACCCAAAGTTATGTTTATAAATTGGTGGCCCATTTATTAAATTAAAAAATAACCGGTACCCATTTTTCCAAACTGGACCAAAGTATGGGTCACTGTTACTATACTTCCAAACATACGCAGTAAAACACATCTTCTTCAAAAATCTCAAACATCAGCAAAATTGTTTTTCAAATCCAACAAATTCGTCCTTCAAGAACGCCTCCACGAGCTTTCTTCTCAGAATCAGGTGAAATTCTACTTAGAATTTTTAGTTTTCACAAATTAAAAGCTTTTTAATTATGGGTTTATCTAATTAACTGCAAAATCGATGAAATTCAGGTTCAAGAGAAAGCTCTACCAACATCTTCCATCTTCCATTGATACTCAGGTAAACATATTATAAACTCCAAATCTGAGTTGTAGGATTCATTGATTATACGGATTTCTTGTATGCACGCATCTTGTTTGATAAAATGTCTATTTGGGTTTGTTTATATTGTCATATTAATATAGCTGGAGAACGACATGTATATTTTACAATTGATGATTTTGTGAGGAGGTCGCTGCTATAGACATGTCTGTGTTGGTGTTTTGTTGTTATCGTTGATTATACGCGACAAATTAAGAAAAGTATACAATCCCAGTGAATGATGCATATAAAAATTTCGCGTGAGAACCATTTTCGCCAATGATCTTTGTCTATCTTCCGTATAAAAATCAGCAAGATATGCAAAACACTGAGCCAAGCAAATGGTGCTGCTTAATATCCAAAACACAGCAAAAGTCCTACCAATAGGAGTTGAGAAGCTCTTATATCTGTAACCTAAAGTCGTAACCATCGAACAAACACAATAGAATGCATCGACGATATCTAGTTTCTCAACAAAATACAAAAAAACAGTTCCTGTAATCATGAGTACAACAAAAGTGGATATTGAAAGCAGAAACTTGTATTTGCTTTTCTTAGTCACAAGTTCTTTAGAAACCTCTTCTAGACCGAGTTTCTCGGCTTTGCATATTGCTTTAACAAGATACACTTCCTGTTTTTCAACAATGTAATCTGCTGCTTTGCTAAGAATCAAGCCACCAAGAGCCATACCAGTGAAGACATAAAGGAAAGCAAGTAGTTTCGCTATAGTACTATTAGGAACGAGATCGCCATATCCAACGGTTGTCATCGTAATGACACAGAAATAAAGAGCATCAAGAAAACCATATGTTTTTATGCCTTGAATTTGGTAACTTACCAGAAAGAAACATAAGGTGCTTGTACCTAAGTATGCTGCTAAATAGAAGAATATTGGCTTGAAGTTGAGTTCTGCTTCTTGTGTTTCATATACATGAGTACAATTTCTATAGTTTTGTATATTTTTTAGGTAACCAATTTGAAGTTAATGAATTGTTATGTAGCCATATATTTTATTTGAGATAGCATGGCTTATGCAGATGACCAAAACTCATAGAATTTGGCCGAAACATTGGATAAATAGCATGGCTTATGCAGATAATATAATGTAAATTATCAACAACTGAAATCCACCTAAATTCAATAACCTATTAATTGATAGTAATTCAGATAGAAAAGTCATTTATCATTTAATTTTTACTAATCAATTTCTATAGTTTTGTATATTTTTTAGGTAACCAATTTGAAGTTAATGAATTGTTATGTAGCCATATATTTTATTTGAGATAGCATGGCTTATGCAGATGACTAAAACTCATAGAATTTGGCCGAAACATTGGATAAATAGCATGGCTTATGCAGATAATATAATGTAAATTATCAACAACTGAAATCCACCTAAATTCAATAACCTATCAACTGTAATTTAGAAACAACAACTTATGTGACTTTGATACACTTTGAAACAGAACCATTATGTTGAAGCATGGATATATATTCATTACGGTATATTGCAGAGTACATAAATTGTTTTTTTTTATAAAATTGATTTTGAAACTGGTTTTTTATAAAACTGGTTTTGAAATCGATTTTTTAAAGAAAATTAAAAACTGCTTTTTACAAAAATCAGTTTAGAATTGGTTTCTTTTTAAAAACTGGTTTTTGTGAGAAACTGGTTTAAAACCGAACCGATCCACATGTAAACCAATTTTAGAAATATAAACCGGTTTTAATGAAGTAGTTTTAAGATCCAAACCAAACCATATATATGGTTCAATTTGGTTTGGTTATTGATCCATGCACACCCCTATTCATCATTCCATTTGACTACTTGATCTTTCTTCAATAGTTTGAAGATTGGCTCACAAGTAGCTGTCAGGTGAGAAATAAATCTAGAAATATAGTTCAGGCGTCCCAAGAACCCTCTGACCTCCTTCTGAGTACGAGGAGCAGGAATTTCTTGTATCGCTTTAACCTTGGCAGGATCAACCTCGATGCCTTTGTTGCTGATAACGAAACCTAGGAGTTTACCGGATCTCACTCCGAATGTACACTTGTTTGGATTCAACCTTAGTTTGTACTCTTTCAATCTCTCAAACAACTTATGTAAATGATCAAGGTTCTCCTCTTCAGTTTGTGATCGAGCTATCATGTCATCTACATAGACCTTTATCTCATGATGTATCATATCATGAAATAAAGCTACCATGGCGTGTTGATAGGTTTCCCCAGCATTCTTCAGTCCGAATGGCATCACTTTGTAGCAGAATATGCGCCACTATGTGACAAATGTAGTTTTCTCCATGTCCTCAGGTGCCATTTTGATTTGGTTATAACCTGAGAATCTGTCCATGAAGGAAAATACTTTATGCTGGGCTGTATTTTCAACCAGGATATCGATGTGGGGAAGTGGAAAATCATCTTTAGGGCTGGCCCTATTCAAATCTCTATAATCCACGCACATTCGTACTTTTCCGTCCTTCTTAGGCACGGGAACAATGTTGGCAACCCATTGAGGATAGGAAGTGACAGCCAAAAATCCAGCATTGAATTATTTCATGACTTCCACTTTGATCTTCTCTGACATGTCAGGTCTCATGCGGTGGACTTTTTGTTTCACTGGTGGACAGTCTTCTCTTGTGGGTAGACGATGTACCACGATGTCTGTATCAAGTCCTGACATGTCTTCGTATGACCAGGCAAAGATCTCAACATAATTATGCAATAGCTGAATTAGACGCTCCTTGACACTCGGCTCTAGGTTGGCACCCATCTTGATTTCCTTTTTATCTTCCTCAGTACCTAAGTTGATTGTATCCAACGGTTCGTCATGAGGCTGAATAGCTCTTTCCTCTTGTTGTAGTAGTCTGGCCAATTCCCCTGGTACTTCACAATCTTCCCCACCTTCGTATTTGGCTTGGTAGATTAGATCTTCAGAGTCACTAAAAGCCATAGCAGTATCGTTACCCATGGGATCCAGAATGGAGGGGTACCTGTATTTGTGAGTGTGGGTGTGTGTAAGGGTATAGCCATCTTTAAACAATAAAATGTAAAAGAAAGACAATGAGCACAAAAGGTTTGTATGTGAAAAAACGTCCATGATTCATTGAATGTCGTATGAAGATGAAATAAAACCCTTACAAATGGACCATTGTGCCTCGGGTAAGACACAAGGTTTTTAATGTGCGAATTGTTTGTGAATATTACAAGTCCAACAGAAATCTAAAAGATAAATTACTGAGAGATGAAAGTTATTGGGACAAAGTCTATGGCTTACCAATTGCGAAGTCCTCCATTGACAGTAGGAAATATCCAATCCTCCAAGCTTCCATCTTTTTCACCATCTCCCACTGTGTTGACCTCTTGGTTGCTAATCTTCAGAGGTGGCCCTCCAGCACGAGCAAGACGCACAACCTTCTGAGCATTTGAAGTAAAACCTAAGCTAAACTTGTCAGATTTATACGGAATGTCTGGAAGCTTCCCCCAGATGGTACATCCACCCTCCTCTACTACTACATTGGCGTCCTTTAGAGATGACATCCGAAGCGGAGGTCTTGTGATCTTGGGGATTTGGGATACCGCCTTGGTTAATGTTACCTCTTGAGAGACTTCTTCGAAATGTTGAAAAGGAGTTTCAATAAACTCGCCATCTAATTCCACATACCGGAACGAATTTAGGTGGCTAATCATGTACTCTTCCTCTCCGTGGACAGTGATAATCTTTCCATGGATCGGGTATTTCAGCATCTGGTGTAGTGTAGAGGTGACAGCATCGGCATTATGGATTCAGGGTCGTCCCAACAGACAGGAGTAAGAGGGGTGGATGTCCATTACATAGAAGGTTGAGGTGAAAGTCTGAGTTCCCACTTTTATGGGGATGTCCACCTCCCCGTGGACCATCCTCTTTGAGCCATCAAATGCTCTCACAACTATGTTACTGGGTTTCAAAGTCAGCCCTTCGCAATCCAATCTGTCGAGAGCTTTCTTCGGTAAAACGTTCAAAGATGAGCCCGTGTCCACCAAGACATGGGCCAGAGTCGTTCCTCTACACTCTACAGAGACATGTAATGCCTTGTTGTGCTTTCTCCCTCTTGGTGTCAAATCAGCATCAGAGAAGCCTAGGTCGTTATCAGTTGTCAAACTGGCCACACAATCTTGGAATTGGTCAGCAGACGTCTCTTGTGGCACATAGGTTGTCTTTAGGAACTTCACCAGAGCTTTCGCATGTGCCTCAGAACACAGCAACAATGCTAACATGGAGATCTTGGAGGGAGTTTTCCCCAACTATTCAACCACGTCATAGTCACTCTTCTTTATTATCCTCAGGATCTCCTCCATTTCCTTCTTGGAGGTTTTGGGGATAGCCGGTGGTTGAGCCTTCGTCCGGACAGGCTCTTCTTGAATACTTTTTCCTCGATTTTTAGCAGTAGAAGTGTTGGTAGGGATAACAGCAGGGATCGTGTTGTCTTTTTCAGTAGGAGCACTTGCAGATATGATTATTGGTACATAGGTAATCTTTGGAACGGCCATGGGTCCAAAAACTGCCTTTGGAGGGGCAATTTCTGGAGAGAAGATTCTACCTCTACGGGTAATCTTGTTGGTTCCGGCAATATTGCTAATGTCGGAGTCTTCTTCTTCAGAGCTTACTTCTTTGGCGGTCAGCCCATCTTGTTTAATACCATGGTAGTAGATGTCTCCACCATAATTCCACGGTACTGTTTTATCTGATTCATATGGGATCGGCCCGGGCATTGTGATTATAAGAGGAGTAGTCCTTGGAACCGATGTAATCCTAACGGGTCTTTTGGGGACCCTGGAAGGATTGGCGGAGATGGTTATAATTGAAACGTCTTCAACAGGAACAGGTGAAACAGGAGCATTTTCAAACAGAATTTCTTGGTTGTCTATCAAGCGTTGAATGCTTGTCTTCAACAAAGGGCAATCAGTTGGTGAGGATAAGCAAAGATGGCAGTCT